TGACGTGGAATGGTCCGTATAATTCCTATGTATATTGCATACCTTAATATTAGCAAACCTTAATAAACAAAAGTATAATCTTTACAGGATAGCATTAGAAACAGGGGCCTGGAGTGACTATAATACAATCAAACGTAGATACAAGAGGATGGTAAAGGTTAAAAAGGTTAAATACTTGGAGCATAAAATAACAGTTAATATTGGAGATAGCAAATCAATGTGGAAGCATCTAAAAAATTGCATAAGTATGTCAAAGGAAATAAACGCCATTATTGCAATTACCTCAAATATAGAACCTGGTAAAAAAGAATCCTTTACGACTCCAAATTGCACACATAACTTTAAATTTATAGAAATCGAAACCGATGAAGTGCTTGAAATTGTCAGTGGTTTTAAAAATAAAATTGGAGGAAAAAAACTATTATCTGAGGGAGTCATAAAAGACTCTATAACATATACAGGGTACTTTTACACGCAGTTAATTAATGAAAGCCTAAAATATGGTGTTGTTCCTGATCACTGGAAAACATCTATTGTTGTGCCAATTGAGAAAGTCAAGAACACAATCAGAGCCGACTGAGACCAATTAATACGTTGCCTAGTGATGAAAAAATTCTTGAAACGGTAGTTAAAAAACAACTAATAGAATATTTAGAAACTATTAAAATATTAATGCCACAAGAGTCTGTTTTTAGGAAAAGGCACTCGTGTGAAACTGCACTAAACTTAGTATTAGCTCGCTGGAAAGAAGAATTGAGCATAAGTAAATACATAGTTGCCGTCTTCTTAGACTTAAAGCGCGCATTTGAGACCATCGATCAAGAGTTACTTCTAAATAACTAAGGGAAACGGGGCGTTGAGCTAAAATGGTTTCAAAGTCTTATTACAAATCGTTACCAGAGAACACAGATTGGATCGTCGGTATCTGACAAAAGAAGTATAGTGGTTGGTCTACCTCAAGGCTCAGTGCTAGCACCTATANGTAAAAACATCAATGAGTTTAAAAGAAAGTTGTTTGACTTTTGTAAATCTATCCCAATATAATGTAATGTATTACTTTATATCTGTTTTCCGTTTACTATTGTTCCGTAATTTCATCTTGTAATTGCCATGTATGAATGCCCTTCCAAATGATTTTATTAGGCTTAAGCAATGTAATATTAAATAACTAGGTTAAGTCTACATATATTGTAATGAATTAGGCTCAAGAGAGCTGTAATAAATAAATAATAATAATAATTATAATAATAATAATATCTATGTATGTACATTAGGGTGGTCCAAAAATGTATGGGAGAAAAGTAAAATCGGAAATTTAATGCTCTCACCCCCTAGGATTGTTCTATACCGAAAAAAATATACCCATTGTTTTTTTATTTTAAAATCAAAATATATTTAGAGGTCGCTCAAAGCGCTCAAAGTTTCCCATGTATTTTGTATGGGGAAAAAAAGACTTTTCGTAGAAATGGCATAGAATCCATGGAAATCAAAATTTTTCAATCTGAAAACTCTGCTTCTCTTCAGAAGACTTCAGAGAATAATGCCCAATTGTTTATTTAAACGTTTTTCAATTTAAACTTTTTTTGGACCACCCTAATGTACATGCTTGTGTTTTTTCATCCGAAAGCATTTTATGTGTAATAGTTAAATATAGCGCGGGATTTCTATTATAACTTTAGTATAAAACGGGATTTAGGTTATATTTGAACGGGATTTCATTAAACCTGTTACTCGCAACACTGACTGGCGTCCACTCCAGTGGACGAACATCTAGCCACAATCCGCATCAAAGCGAGATTCTTCAACATCTCGCTCATCTGCGCCCATGCCCCGTCAGAAGAGAAGGACGAGGCGTGCAAGGAACTCTTCTATGAGCACTTGGAGCGTACATATGAGCGCTGCCCCGAAACAATGCCAAAATCGTGCTCGGCGATTTTAATGCCAAGGTGGGCAAGGAAGGGATCTTTGGCGCCACTGTCGGAAAATTCAGCCTCCACGACGAAACGTCCGATAACAGGCTGTGGCTGATCGACTTCGCGCGAATACTTTTCAACCCCTTGGTTGGCAGCAGCACTGAAAGTAGTGGAGGAGACGAACCTGAGCCCCCAGTCGAAGACGATGGAGTCCATGTCTCAGCGTCTGACCACGAGAAGGTATGAATAGCGAGTATGCTAATGAAAAATAACAAACTTGCTGGATTTGACGGTACGATACGATGCTGAGAAGCTAATAAGGTGCATGTCCGACGCCAGGAATTCCAGTGCTTGGATTTCAAAACCGCTTTCGTCAGCTGGAAAATAAGTTGTCTTTATTTCGTGATGTCTGAATTTTGTATCCCCGCAAAACTAAGACGGCTGTGTAAAATGACGTTGAGCAATACCACCAGCTCCGTCAGAATTGATAAGGGTCTCTCCTAGCCATGTGATACCAAACAAGGTTACTCCCTTTCGAATGATATCTTTAATCTGATGTTGGAGAAGATAATAAGAGTCGCATAACTGAACCGCTGCCTTTTCGGAACTAGAACGAGAAGCAAAGCGTGTGGGTCTCATGGTGAACGAGGAAAAAACGAAGTATTTCCGGTCATCTCACAATAGTCAGAACATAAGCGTTAATGACAATGAAAACATCTGATGAGACGGCTCTTGGAATTTTCGAGAGAAAGATTCTCCGAAAAATTTATGGGCCGTTACGCATTGGCGACAGCAAGTACCGCAGACGATGGAACATGAGCTCTATGAGCTTTACAACGGCATGGATATAGTGCAGCGAGTCAAATACAATGGCTACGCTGGCTTGGTCATGTCGTACGAATGGACCGAAACGCATCAGCACTGAAAGTATTCAACGCGGGTCGCGATGGTGGAAGATGAAGGCCCGCACTGTGATTGAAGGACCAATTGGAGAAGGACTTAGCTTCACCTGACATTTACCGCGTCAGTTGGCAAGGAAGTGAAACGACTGACGTACTGTTTTGGACTCGGACAAAATCGCTTGCATCTCAGATGCATTTGCTCAAGCTAGGATTGGACCAGACCCATCAGCAATGTATGTCTTGTCTGGCAAAAGATTCCGTTGGTTATGTTTATGTAACTTGCTGACTTAGCTGTTACAAACTGGACAGATATGGGAACACTGTACTTTCTCTCAAAACAAAACCATTTGTGTAAATCATTTTTGGGTACTCGCACTGTTTTAAGGTTTGCCGTTTCCCAAGTCCTGTTTCTATATTTTTTATCTTTGCACTTGCTTTCATTTTGAATACTTCTGATAACAGTTGATTTGTTTATTTTACACATCACTTTAACTGAAACACCACTTTTTAGTTTTTCCAGAATACTAGTAAGTGTGGCATGAATAAACAAAGGGAGTTATAGGTATTGAGGTTAAATTGTTTTGCAGTTGCACTTATAAAGTTGAAATTTTTTGTTTCAAAGCCTTGCACGTGTAGAAAGTTGCGGTTACCGTGTACGCACTGTAAATACTTTTGATCGGATAAACAGAAGTTAGGTAACGAAAAATTATAAGGCTCAACCTATGAAAGTCCAGATTTTGAGCGGTATAACTTTAGTAGTCACACAGTGGTATTATCCGGACGAAATACTTGACGGTGGTACCAAGGGAGGAACGGTGCATAACGATAGGACGGGGTGATGCTTCCTCCCCGGAAAAAAACATGTGTAGTAATAAGTTCATAAGTCGACGAATAGTTTTATATCAACTTTTGTGAACTTCGATTTATGTGTTTTTGTACAACTTACCTCTATTGGTTACAATAATTTTAAGCTATAATAAAAAATTTTTTTGAATAAAAATTATTGGCTTAAAAAAAAATTTATACGAGGTGTTCGCTTGAATTTTCTGATAGGGTTTCATTCCAGATAGGAAGCAGTCGTAAAAAATTGACTTTGAAGAAAAAATTACCTTCTTCACTTTTTGCTTTATATTTCCTAGCTATTGGTAAGAGATGAGGTCTCTCGTCCAAAGTAATTTCTTAGCCTTAAAACACCATAGGCAAACCCCTTATGTGGTATGGATATCTCGGGCGATGGATTCCTCTAGAGAGAGCTACACTAGTTAGGCAGCTAGAGAGAGTACAAAGCACTGTTTCCATTGGCATTACTGGTACCGCCACTCGTACGCTTAATGCTATGCTGGATATAATGCCTGTTGACTTTGCAGGAAGAACTGCTGGAACATAGACGGAAATCAGGCTAACAGAAATCGGATGCCTACAGTTTCGTTAACTCTAAAATTCTGGAACGTTTAAATTTCGCCCCTGGTTACACGGATAACTATGCTTCTGAAATTACTTTAAACCAGAGCTCTCGATTTTGTTCCCACATTTTCAAACAGCCCGGGTATATGAGCAGCGAGTACTCGCACACTTGTTCAATGCTCATTACTCGAAAATTTTCGAGCATGAGCTCGAGCAATTCGAGTTTTTTCGAGTAATTTGAGCAATGTTTTTTTTTTATTATATTGACATTTTTGGTAACAACTTTTTAAATTTTTCAAATTATTGGTATATATAATGCAATGATTGTTACATTGGCATTTAATAATATAATTTATTTAACATGAAATAGAAAGCAGCTGCTGACAAACACAATTTACAAATTTTCTTTTGTTTATGAAAGTGTTCAAAAACTCGAAATTTTTAACAAACATTTGAGCAGTTGAGCAATGAACGAGTTTCGAGCGAGTATCGAGCTACTCGCATTGCTCGATACCCGGGTATCTAGAGCTCTACTTTAAACTTTTTATTTACACAAATTCATTCGAAGTTCGAAATCACATTTTATTTTAATAGGGTCTCGCTGCTGAGAATCAACAAGAAAACTTAGCTCATTGTTAAGTTATCCAACACTTCTAAACTATCATAATTTCTATATGTAGTGAAATAATTTTATGGCTTTATTCAAAAACATTTAATACATGTTGAAATAATAATTTATATTTAATTAAATTCTTTATTAAAACGGTCTCTATTCTTACAGATTTCGTATAGATAATACAGATCACATAATTGATGTAAACAAAGGAAATTTAGCATTTGAATTCGACCAAGTGCATATAATATGTCCGGTTTATGAACCAGGAACCTTTGAAAATGAAACGGAGAAATATATAATATATAACGTGTCAAAGGTGGAGTACGAGACATGTCGGATAACGAATGCGGACCCGCGTGTTATAGCCATTTGCGATAAACCGCAAAAATTAATGTTTTTTACAATAACTTTCCGGCCATTTACACCGCAGCCAGGTGGTTTGGAGTTCCTTCCTGGAAATGATTATTATTTCATTTGTAAGTAGTATACATATAACGACTTCTTAAGTATTACCTTTCTAATACAAATATGTATGTTTATATATCTGTATGTATGGCAATAAGGAATAACAGTTAAGACTGACTTCAGTATAATGTACCATACGCAGAGTCTGCGATTTTCTGCAGTAGCTATTTAAATACTATTGATAAATGAATGCCAATTACACAGGCCAACCAAAATGGAAAAAAATTTGGTGCGGCAAATATTAAATCTGTTTTTGATATACTTTTTTGTGCTGATTACGAATCCGTAGGTATTAGGTTTCCATCAGCTTCAGATTTTGAGAAAAACGAGGTCAAAGTGTCAAAAAATATTTTAGAAGCTCTAGCAAAGAAACAAAAGGTGATAGAACCTTCCACTTAGGCTTAGAACTCTCGACTACTATTCCTGAAAAGACCATCCCTGCACCTTGACTTGATGGTCACTTACAGTCATTTGTTGAACAGCAATCAGCACAAAAACCTCTATCAAAAACAGTTGTAACATTTCCGCATCAAAATCAGTGTTGCTTTGTGTTATTAAATCCATCGTGACACATATGGTGACAGAACGAGAAACAAATGAAGAAAAGCCCATTCTCTAAGAGAAAGATAAGCTCCCTTTCATAAAAATTTTCCTCAGGAATCGGCTGAATTTCGAGTTCACAACGAAGGTAGAATACATTGTTTAGCTAAGGCTCCGTTGTGCTGGAGAGTGGCCAAGTTATCGAGTCGAATACCACCCTATTCCACCATTCATGTCGAAGGTTTTCCAATTATTTAAGAATTGTTAACCGCTCCCCTTCTTCTATGGTGTGCAAAAATTTCACAGATTACCGATTACCAGTATTAATTTTTACCATGGGAGTATTGTAAATTCAAAACTTAAAGCAGGGGTGCTCAAAATTTTTATATTAAAGTAAAATAACAATACATCTACAAAATTTATGTGTACAGTGGGATTTTTATTTAATCCTTTTTTATTTAAATGAAGCAAAAAAGTACAAGTTTATTGTTATTGTACGATTAGTGAATGAAAGCACAGGTCCACAAAAAAAAATCGATGAAAGGTTACTTTGACCAAACCTAGTCTGTTATAGGTTTTTGGGGTGGTCGCTGAACACGAATCTGAAGGCCGGTTTGCTCCATCACGTCTGAATTTTTTTCTAAACTCAAAAAACATCTCGGATTTTACGTGACAGAGAAAATGTTTCAAAAATTCAGACGTGATGGAGCAAACCGGCCTTCAGATTCGTGTTCAGCGACCACCCCAAAAACATATAACAGACTAGGTTTGGTCAAAGGAACCTTTCATCGATTTTTTTTGTGGACCTGCGTTAACAATTTTCTCTGTCACGTAAAATCCGAGATGTTTTTTGAGGTTAGAAAAAAATACAGACGTGATGCAGCAAAACGGACTTCAGATTCGTGTTCAGCGACCCCAAAAACATATAACAGACTAGGTTTTGAAATTGTTGACAATGGGAGTATTTACATATATGTGGAATAATACTGTGAGTTAAGAAATGATAGCTACCAAGTGGCTGAAAAGTTCCAAAATTTAGTGGGAGGAATTATCCTTACACATATTTACATCATATTGCATACTCAAATTTTATATGTTCCTTGGGACACTGCTCGCTTATAAAAGTCTAACTTTAAAGCAATAAAATTTAATGAGGGTTTGGAGTTTCTCCAACCTAAAAATATAATTTTATTTTTTTTTTGCGTGAAGTTTGCCGGCCATTTGTTGATACTTTGCCTCAAAGTCCCGAAATTTCTTTTTTTCTGAAATCCGACGTTATAAAAATGTCTGCAATCCTATCAACTTTACGCGATGTGATGCTCCCAGGGATTTATATTGAACTTAGATTGGAAATCAGTCATTTTCTATATTGCCTTTAAGGTTTGAAAAAAGTTTTGGTGGCAAGTTACAAAAATGGCGTTGCAAGTAATATTCCGTCATTCGTTTAATAATTACAAAGCACAACATACACTACGCTTTGCACTCTGTTAAATAAATTTCGTGTTCACTTTCAGTATGTACGAATATTACATCAATTTTTAATATAAATTTTTTTCAGTGCTGACATATTTTTTATTATTTTTTCATTCTATATTTTTTTGTGTATGAAACTCAGGCACTTTCATATGAATTATCTTTATATGGCAGGGCATACGAGAGGGCGAGAAACATTTTTTTTTTAACATTTAAAATGTAAATTGGTATATGTTAAGTATTACGTATTTATTTACTAATAGTTCTAAAAGTATAAGATATGGCAACCTCTTTATCTAAACACATAAGTTGGCAACACTTAAACATGTTATTAGATACACAATCCTGAATGGTACAATATCCTACACATGTGCCTGGCTTAAGTCGCTTTCATTTTATACACATTATTATAATCTTTACCAACCCAATAAACTTTGAATTACATTAAAACCATCAACAAATGGCGACGAGGTGAATTACAGAAACCTGGCGTCAAAAGTAATAGCATATTCTCGATAAGAAGCGAATTCATCGTAACTCTGTCAAAATGAGTGCAGAGGCGCTCCTAGAAGTGATCCAGCAAATGCAGCAGTCAAATCAGGAATTCATGTCACGGTTGTTGAAAGAAAATCAACAAACTATACAAAGTATAATGAAGAATTGCGAAAAGCCGTCAGGGGCGATTCCAAATTTTCGGGCGTTTAATAAGGCTGGGCTGAAGACAAATGGTGCACGTATGAATTACAGCTCGATCAGCACTTTGTGGCTCATAGCGTAGAAGATGAGCTGACAAAGCGTGCCTGTATCCTAAGTTGGATTGGCGCAGAAAATCTAGAGCTACTGCAAAAACTTTTCGATGGCAAGGTGAAAGAAAAGACATTTAAAGAAATCATAACCTCACTTAAAGAACATTTTGAGAAAAACAACATGTGCTTAGTGCACGTTTTCACTTTTATCGCACACATATGAAGCCGAGTCAAACTTATGCTGACTGGCTTGCCGAGCTCAAGGGAGCAGCAAAAAATTGTCTATTCAAATGTGTCAAAGCTGAGTGTGAAGAGGCTTATGTAGACAGCAAAATTCGAGACATGGTAGTCATGCACACACCACATGACAAAGTTAGGACGGCAGCCTTGCAAAAGGTCAATCCCACATTGCAGATTGCAACAATATATGAAGCAACAATTAAAATGTGCACTGAAAAGAAGGAGTCGGATTCAGCAAATGTGAATGTCATCAGTAAGTCATCAGTAAGTAAGTCAGTAAAGTCGAAAGGAAATCGCAAAAGGAAAGAAAATTTAAATCGTAATAACAATGCAGAGTCGTTAAAAAAATCGTGTCCAGGGTGTGGCACCTCGCATCCAAGAGAAAAGTGCTTTCACTATCGAAAGAAAAGTAGATGTAATATATGCTCAAAACCGGGGCATATTGCGGCTGTATGCGGAGCTGCTGAAAAGAGCCAGAGCAAGCATCGAGTTCACAACGTGTCGACGAACAAAGAACCATCTTTTGAAAACATCAGCACTATCAACTCTATACATTCTGAAAAGCAAAAAATCTACGTGAGAATTAAAGTCAATGGAAAATTTATGGATTTCCAAGTGGATACAGGGGCCACTTGTTCAGTTATCGGTGTTAAAGGTCATAAAGAGCTCGGAGAACCGAAATGGGAATACACCCACCAACAATTAATGGCGTATGGTGGACATAACGTACCGGTGAAAGGTCTAACCCATGTAGACGTTCAATGTGGTGAAGTGGTAAAGAACCTACCCCTTCTAGTAGCAGATACCAATGATGCATCAAACATACTTGGCCTTGACTGGTTTTATAAATTGAATTTTGATATAACATTTCCTAAAAAAGTTCAATGTAACCAATTCACTTCTGTTCCCACAGGTCAGGCATCATTGACGTCGTTGAGAGCCCGTCTGACAGAACTAATCAAGAACTATCCAGATATTTTCAGGGAAGAGCTAGGATGTTGTAGCAAGTTTCAAGCAAACATAACCTTGAAGTCAACTGCGAAACCAAAATTTAGTAAACCCTATCACCTACCGTTTGCCCAATACGACAAGGTATGTTCTGAAATTGACCGTTTAGTAGCTTCAAAACTTTTAAAGCCCGTCTCAGCTAGTGAGTGGGCATCGCCGATAGTCGTGGTTAATAAACCAATTGGGAAAGTTCGTGTTTTCGGGGATTTTAAAGTCAATATTAATTCACGGAGATAGGAAAGGCAACAAAATTAGTCCATTACAACGATTCACTGCCCATAGTATTAGCTACGGATGCATCGAAATTGGGCATCGGCGCTGTTATTTCGCATCGATATGCCGATGGCTCAGAAAAGCCCATAGCTTTCGCGTCTAAAACGCTAAGAGTCAAGTGAATTACTCGCAAGTGGAAAAGGAAGCACTTTCTATCATCTTTGGGGTAACGCGATTCCACCAGTATCTATACGGCAGACATTTTGAGCTCCAGACCAATCAGCAGGCATTAACCACATTATTTCATCCATTTAAAAAACTTCCAACTATGACGTTGCAAAGACTTCAAAGATGGGCAATACTTTGCAGAGTTAGACTATTATATTCGATATCGACATACATCGCAACACTCAAACGCTGACGCACTTTCAAGACTGTCCTCAGGAGAAGACCTAGAATTCGATAAGAAAGCAGGTGAAATGACCAATATGTACGAAGTTTATCAAACCGCGGTGGAATCATTGCCACTCACACCTGAGGTTATCGCAAGGAAATTCCGACACCACTCTCAAAGTAGTTAAGCATATGATCGAGGAAGGGTGGCCTGCTCAACTAACTGTATCGCAAAAGTCACTGAAACCCTATTTCGACAGACGTTTAGCTCTCAGCTGCCAGAAAGGCGTAATCCTTTTACAAACAGATTATACCGAGTCGTGGTACCGTCTGAATTGCAGACAAAGATATTGAATTTGTTGCACGAATGGCATTGGGGAAATAAACGGATGAAGCAG